TTCCTTCCCTTCCTCCTTCCTTCTCCCTTTCTCCACCCCCTGCCTGTCTCTTCCCTTTTATTTTTATTAGTCCACGTTTGGAGTACATAATGATCACATTCCTTGTGGGGAGTTGGTACAGGCACCTAACACATCTTCATGCTTTTTATGTCCCTTTCCCTCTCCTCCCTTCATCTCTTGGTCCTCTTTCCATCTGCAAAAGATCTACCTTCCTGCTGCTGCCTGTTATCTATTCTTTATTTGGACCTTTATTTACATTTTGTGTTTTTTATATAAGAGAAGCCATGTGATATTTAAACTTGTGTGTCTGATTTATTTCACTTAACATTATGGTCTCAGGGTGCATGTATTTTCCTACAGATGACTCAAGCTCACTCTTCTTTATGGCAGAGTAGTACTCTATTGTGTGTAAATACATTTTCTTTACCCATCTGTTGACAGACATATAGGCTGCTTCCAAGATTTAGCTACTATGAGGTGTGCTGCTACAAACATGGGTGTGCATCTAGTTTCAGTGGTTGTACTAGTTTACATTCCCTTCTGTCCTTTCTTTCATTCCTCCCTCCTTCACTTGTTCTTCCTTCCTTACTTTCTCTCTTCCTCCTGTCACCTCTTTCCTTCCTGCCTGCCTCCCTCTATCCCTCTTTTGCTTCTACCCTCCCTGCCTTCCTCTAGCCTTCCTATTGTCCATCCGTCTTTCCCTTCTTCCTCTCTAAATGTCTATGGAGCTGTGGCCCCCACCCCACCCCGGAACATGGAGTGTGGACTTCTTGGGGAAGATGAGGAGTGGCTTCCCTGTGTGGGTGCTGAGAACAGGTGTGCACTCAATGGAGGGTGGACAGCTGCGGACCAGAGCTCAGAGCAGCTGCAAATGGAGCAGGCCACCACAGTGCACAAGGCCTTGCACATAGCCCCCAGCACACAGAGAACAATGTCACCCAGTTTCCCTCAGTGACCCCCCCCCAAGGCATTCCCACCCCCACACCCTAGGGACAAGGCTGTGGAATGAAAAGATCCTCCCACCAACAGGAACCTTGGATGACCCTAAAATATGGGACAAGGGTCATCTTGTGATCTCAGCCGCCACATTTGCTTCGCTAAAGCCTGGTCCCCTGTGTATACAATGATCAACAGTTTGGTTTGCATTCACGGGCAAAGTGCATCTGGGATTAAGACCTAACCCTAAAAGGTGCAGATAAACAGACCAGGGTGGACAAGGGGTGCTATGCAGGAAGCAGCTGATTTCACTGTTTTGGTTCTTACCCTCCACTGCAGAACAAAGCCAGATTTGTATCCACAGAACATTCTTATAGCAAGTGGAAGAAATTATCCCTTAACGAAGCTGTTGGAAAAACCAACTGCAAGAATAGCAGCCGGCCTTCCCTCTTGCCATCAAAAGATCTTTGCTATTCAAAGAGTCTTAAAAAAAAAAAAACCCAGAAGAGATGCCCTATTTAAAAATAAGACAGTTCGCTATGCCATCACAGAAGCAAAAGCGCCAGCAGGAGAAATAATAGCTTCACAGGAGAGACAGAAACTTTGGGAGATGCTTAAAATAGACAAGAGAATAGAGGTGCTACTAAGAGGTGGGAATCCAACTTAAATAATGTCACCGTCCGGATAGTCATAGTAGGGTCCATTTTCTCAGAGTTAAGAATTCTGTGAAATTCTGTGAAACCACAGATACAACCGAAAGATGCTTAATTTCTGACTCTCCATTGTGAGGAGAGAGCACAAATCATGAGCACTTTCTCACCTTCAGAGGAGTCATTTGTGATTAATATTAATTCATATTTCCCAGGTGGCATCTGAAGTGACTTAGTTTGCTGGTCGTGACCGGCTGTGGCAGTCCATGCTCCCTGTCCTCCATCTGTCCCACTGGTTCATTCCATGCTGCTCCAATGATGTTCAGAAGCATCTGGGGCCCTCACGTGTCCTCACTGCCACAGAGCCACCCAGCACCTCCTGGCAGAGAACAAATTCCCTGTGCCATGGATGCCACCAGCTCCTTCCTTCCCTGCCCCTTAGTGAGACACCTGGGCGGTCACCTTTCCTTCCTCCCTCTAATCCCTTCATCATCGTCAGTAGACAACTGGGCTGCTACCCACGCACTGCTATCTGGGGAGCTCCTTCTGCTGCTTTCATGACACTAGCGGGACAGGGTCTTTGGGCCATGTAGGTGAGAGGGAGGCAGAGTCCACCAGGCGGTGGTGCTGAATGGCAACCTGGCTCAGGCCAAGAGAGAAACCAAGAAGAGCTGCCCTGCCTGCTTGCTTCGGCCGGGGCTGGCCCAGCCCGACACTATTGAGCTGGACATCAGGCTATCCGAGTCCCGGGTGCTGATTTTGCAAGGGCTGCATGAAAAGATGGAAATACCTCTTTCTGCTCTGTCTACACTCGAGGTAGGGGAGGATAGAAAAAATAAAAATAGGTAGAAAGGAGACAAGGACATTGTAAGTTTTAAACTGTAATTCTGAGGTAACTGCAGCTTCACGATACAATCAAAGTTACTCAAGATCGTGGTCTTTTTCACCCCTGGGCCCCTTTTGCTCCAGCCCCTCATGCTCAAATCTCTGAAAGTCTTAAAGAAAAACTAAGTCCATAATGTCAACCAGTATTTCTTCTGACACTATAAACCCATAAATTCCAGAGACTTCCTCTCTCCAAGAAACAGTAACTGGATGAATAGGTTGGGCGTCATAGGTCTAAACTTCAAACACAGGCAAATGCCTTGCATACTAACCTGGCTGATAACGCCAAGCTTTGCTTTAGCTGGCTCAAGAGCACTTCTCTAACTGCACCCAAGGAACCTGCCTCTGCCTTTCCTGAAGTTCCTCTCCATGATGAGTCAAGAATCAACTTGGGCAAGGTGAGGTCCTCATTAGGGGAACCTCCTTGGACCTCATCTAGCAACAAAGGCACACCCTGCAGAAGGTCCCCTAACCCTTAACTCACCCCATAAGCAGGGTGGGAGACAGGCGCCGAATACCAGCCTAACAACCCACAGGAGGGCAGGAGCTAGGCTTATCTTGGAGAAGGAAACTCCCAGAAGGCAGAGAAGAGGAATCTTGAGAATCAGTGAGAGTTGGTCTGGATCCAGATGGCTCAGTGGGGCCACTGTGCCACACCCAAGAGGCTGTCGGCTGACGTGAGGAGGACATTTTGAGAGTGGCAGGAAGGAAGGATGTTTTGTGTCATTAAAAAGCATCCCAGCTTCCGGCGAAAGGACTCTTCTCCAGGTAAATTTGGACAAGTCGGAGAAGGTGTCTCAAGGTGGCACTGCTCAGCATTCCAGATGGCATGGAAACCTTCAGAGAAAGTGATTACCGCGCCTCAGGGAAGGACAGGGATCAGACCCCGTGGGAGAGTGGGGGTGGGGTGTCCCTGGGGCAGGCCTCCCGGGGAACGGGGAGGGGCCGGCCGGAAATTCCTATTAACCACAGGGCCACACCAGGCCCAGGACAGCTCAGCCAGGGGCACTGGGGGGCTGGCGAGGAGGAAGTCATGGGAAGGCCTCAGGGTTACAGAGGAGGAAGCCACTTTACTGAAGCCTTGGGTAACAAAGGAAAAGAAGGCCAGGCCTGGTTCTGCCTGGCGCAGAGACTCACGTCCCCGGGGTTCGTGTCAGGATACCCCACCCCTGGGGGGACCCACACCCTCTGAGGCAGCCCCGACCTTCAACACCACAGTCACCACAGAAGCCACGGGAGGAAGGCATGGCTGCTCCAGGGCACCGGAGGAAGGGTGGGTGGGTGGAAAAGATCCAGGAGGGGAGGATGGCCTCAGGCCACCCCTGCACAGGTCTCCACAGCAGGCCTTTCCCCCCCAGCCCAAGAGCAAGAACTGACCCCCAGCCCCAGCTCCAGCCCTCGTTCTAGCCTGTAGGGGTCAAAACCTTCCAGGTCAGAAGGAAGCAAATGAGGGCTTTTTGATCAGTGTTGTTTTCACTACATCACTGCCCAGTGATGTGATTTAATCATTTATCAAGTGGCCCGGAAACACCTTCCCTGCTCTGGGTATGGCTGAAGAGTCTTCAGCAGCTAAGTCATCATCCTTTCTAGGGCCTAAGGGGCACTTGGTGGGTGGAATAGAAAGTTACTAAGTATTACTCCCAGCTCTAGAGCCCACGACGGCAGGCATGGTGGCGCACACCTGTAATTTCAGCATTGTGGAGGCTGAGGCAGGAGGATCACAAGTTTGTGGCCAGCCTGGGGTACATAAACAACTGCCCCACATCCACAGCTCTGCTGCTGATAACATCAATGGGAATTTATCTACCTAAGAATCACTGCAACATACTGAAGCCGAGAAGGCAACTGGTCACTCAGGGCATGATAAGATTTTCCCCTCAGAATGGGTGACTCTCTTTAATCTCAAGTCCACTTCTGGTATATTACGAGTAAATATTGAAGGAGAATTATTCTATTTGTTTTTACTATAGGAAGTGATCTGTTCCCTAACCCCAACTGTAAAGACTAATCAGGAAAACACTACCTGTAGGGACACAATCTGTCATGCTCAGCAGTGTTAAAAAGAACAACTGGCTCTGAGTCAAAAGGATTGAGGGCAAATCTAGGGGCTGGCACCTGGTCAATGGTTTATAACTTTGGACCTCATTTTCCTCATGTGAAAAGCAGTAACAATCATACTGCTGGGCATGGTGGGGCACACCTGTAATCAGTACTCTGGGAGGCTGAAGCAGGAGGATCTCAAGCTGGGGCCCAGCCTGGGCAACTCAGTAATTTAGCATGACTCTGTTTCAAAATAAAACAAACAAAAAGGACCAGGGATGTAGGTCAATGCAAAAGCCCTGGGTTCAATCCCTAGCACACAGGCACGTACTCACACTCACCACACACACACAGAATGTAAGGGTCTCAGAGGCTGATGTGAACATTAAATGAGATCGTGTAGGTACAGGGTCTAGTCTAACCCCAGGGCCTACCTGGCACTCAATTAAAATGAGATACACCATAAGTAGCATAATATTTGTTGTTGCTGCAAACACTCCTAGAGGAGCGGAATCTGTCTTGACGTTGCCAAATGGAGGGATGAACTGTGACCCTGGCCTGCTCTGTTAGAAGCAGCATCATGCTGGTTGTCCAAACATAATGACTGGCACGAGAGGAGCCTTCTTCCTCCTCAGTGCCCAGCCTGAGGAGTATGAAATCTAGAAAGCCACAGCTTGTGTCCGGAGAGCAGGTTCAGCCGGTTTGCCAGCTCAAAGCTGCCACCTGGAACTCACAAGCTGTTGCCCGAGGCACCTGCAGAGCTGGACCTGGAGCCCGGGCCCCCCAGGGGCTGCTCTGCAGAAGCCCAGGGAGCAGCTTTTTACCCAGAAAACAAACCCAAACCAGTGCTAACAAAGGGAGGCTCCCTCGAACACACACGCCCTTCTGGATAAGACAGCCCACAGGACTCCAGGGGCTTCTGAGGGCCCAAGGCCTCTGCTGGGGAGAACAGGACGCAGCAGGTGCAGACCAGGTAAGGCGGCCCCTGGTCAGCACAGCAGGCATGGGGGAGGGTCAGAGTGGGTCCCCTCTTTGTTTTCTCCCTGTCTCCCAGACTAGGAGGAGGCAGGATTGTGGGAGGGAAAGCTCTGACTGCATTAAAGAGGGGGAAAGAGCCGGAGCAAGGGGAAGCTGAGGCCCAACATGACCTGAGTTTGCAGAAGCAAAGTAGATGATGCCGTGTAGGTGATCGGGTATGTGTGGGGGGTGCCTCCTCCAGACCATGCCAAGAGGGCAGCTATCGCTCTCTGACATTAAGATTGGGAGAAGCCTCCCCATCACTTGGCACAATCCTCTGCCCCAAACTGCCACTGCTTCCCTGCCATGCTGGCTGCCATAATCCCTTCTCCAGGACCCCAGGCCTCCCCAAGATCCAGCACACTGGATGATACCTGTCCACAGGAAGGTTCAGGTACCCTCCTCTGGTCCATTGGTCAGCTGTGAAATGCTTTCAAAGATCACCCCTGAAGAGGGAGCTTGGTGATCAGTGTCATCTCTAGGGAGTGGAGGCAGGACAGGTAGATGGTGGCCTTCAGAGCCAGGCCAGCTGGGCTAGCCATGGGAGCTTTGCTGACCTCTAATCCTCTTCCAGAAAATGGGGATGTCACTACACAAAGTGTCAACTGAGTCACAAATACTGGTGGATCTGTTTTTCTTTCGGTGCTAGTGCCCTTAACGTTTTTTGTTTTTCCTTGACTTTTTCAGACCTCTTTCCCTTCCACATCCTACAGCCCTGCAGACCCCCTGCCCCCTGGCCCCCCGCCCCCCTGCCACCTCCTCCCCTTCTTATTGCCCTCGGGATCTACCACAAGGCGGGTGAGGCTTCCAAGACACAGCTCAGTTGCAACTCCGGGACTGAGCTGCTGTCTCCAAGCAGAGCAAAAGCACTGGGCAGGGAGCACTGCCTGCAGGGCAAGGCGGGGCAGGATGCCAGCCACCCCCAGTCCAGGAAGGGCAGCCAACTCAGCCATGCCCACTGCTCCCAGCCGCCCTCTTTCTTTTACTGACACCAAACTAGGACACCCTTGCAACACAACCAACAAAGCCCCCGAAGCCTGGGGCTGCACACGAAACACTGCAACTTTCAATTCCCTGTTCCCTCTCTGTGTATTAACCAAGTAACTCACCACACAGTAACTTGTTAGGAATCTAACCAGGGTGCCCAGTACTACCGCCAGGTAAGTCAGAGTAAGAATACAGCATTAACAGCATCATATGCTTGACGACTCCTCTCACCCTCCTTTCTTCCTCTTACATGCACACATAGACACAAATCCTTTTAAACTGGCAGGAGTTTTATCAGCCTGTTGCCCACTTGGGGCAGGTGCTAGAGAGAAAGCAATACGGCAAGGTGGTACAGCTGCTCTGGAGCTGTGAGGTTGAGTCAGGGCTTGTGTGTTTTTAATGTGCAGCTGCCCAGATTACATGCACCTTGCTGAAGATACCAGAGAAATGCACAGCAGTAGTAGATTACCCGGACACCGAGGGGAACGTGATCCACATCATCTCCCGTAGGAGGCAAGAGGCCTACAGAACAGGTACACTGCCCCAGAACACAGGCCAGGAAACCTTCGCCTGTCACCAGGCCAACTGGTCACCACAAACAGTCTTTCCCAGAATAACACAAAAGCAGGGTTTTCCTGCTCTTCCCATGAGGAGCACAGCAGCAGGAGACTAGCTGTCTGGCTGTGTGCAGTCCCCACGCCAGCTTCCCACAGCAAGACAAGTCCCTGAGGGAGGTGGAGGGGAATCAGAGGGCACACCCAGACCCCTGTCCCCCAGGCATACGGGATACCATCTTCTGAGGGTCAGAATTAAGCAGGAATAGAGAGCAAAGGTCAAAATAGCTACAGATCTTTACACAGGCACATCTCCATCATTTTGGTTTTCTTTAGCATTTAGGGGTTTTTCCTTACTTGTTGGGTTTGATTTGAAATGAATGCCTGTACCACATGAAATCAACTCCTGTGCAAAAACCGAAGTCATGCAGAATTTTTGAAAACTGCCATACGGTACCATCCGTTATCTCAGTTGTCATCATAAAAAGAGAACTCTTGCATCTTAATTTTTAAGAAAATGGTGAAGTACAAAACTCAGCAGTGGTCAGGGTTCAAACCGTGAAGGAAGTTGGTCTCAGACAGGGTGGCTCTGCAGGCAGCAGGAGCAGGGACCACTTCGGCCCAGCCCACCGCTGCGAAACACTTACTTGGGAGGCCTGCTGGGCTTCCAGTACTGGCAGAAGAGGTACTGCCCATCAGCATTGAGCAGGTGAGGAAAGTCTGGGACAGGATTGTTCTGCAGCCGCTGCCGCGGAGAACCTTCCTCCGGCATCCTGGAAGGGTCTTCAACTCCTGGCGAGAAAGGCAAACACATCCCAAAGTCAGAAACTCCTGGAGACAGGGAAGGAAAGCCTTGTGCAGAGTCAGGAACATTTTTTAAAACTGATTTTTTTTAAACCTCTATTTGAAAGATCTTTTAAAAATTACATACATTTCTTGCAAATCTCTCCAAGACTGAAAAATCCCACTTGTTCTCTAGAAAATGCTCACTTTATTTTTTAAGTGCCTCATTACAGCTCCCCCCCCCCTTCCATCTGTGTTTATTTTAAATCATTTCAGGAAACTTCATCTTAAAGACTATTTTAGCTGTAATCAAGCGGAAATTATAGTCAGCTCAGTGGGTACAAAGACCCAGCTGCAAGAAGCCCCATCTCCCTTAAGCCTCCGAGGAATCGTCGGGGGGGGGGCACAATGACGAGGTGGATGCGCCTCCGGTTAATGCTCCTCTCTGAAATCCCAAAGATGCACCACAAACCTGCTTCCATCACGTCCTGGCGTTTGCATTCCACAACCGCCAAGCCTCGAGGATCACAGCCAGGCAAATAAGGGCTGCTCTCTCATCGCGGCGGTCACAGCAGCTCCCGCGCCCTGCGCCCCGCCCGGCGCCTGGAGCCCAGATCAGGCTTCGGGGCTCGGGTAGGTGCCGCGCTCACCGACAGCCCCGCGGGCTCCCCTCCCTGCCGGGGCGGGCCCCGGGCGCCAATTCCCAGCCACTAGCTCCTGTCATCACTTTCCCCAAACAAATCGCCGGGGCCGGGAGGCGGGGCACGGGCCCGCACCCACGGCCAGGAATGCGGAGTCGGGCTCCGCGGCACCCCGGGGCGCCTCGCGGTGAGAGCGCAGGTCCCCCAGGCCGTCTCCCCTCGGGGCTCGGGACAAACTTTGCCGCGCGCGCCTCCGAGCGCACAGGGCACGGGGCCCGCCGCTGTCCTCGGAACGCCACGGGGACTGGGGACTTCGCTGCCCCGGGTCGCCGCACCCGGGTGGGAACACGGAGTTGGCGGGGACAAGTTGGCCAGGGCTGGCGCAAGGGAGCCGCAGGGGGCGCTCACACACACGCGCACCCCGACACCCGCGCACACTCGCGCATGCACACGCACGCGGGGGGCGCGGAGCCCACGCCGGGCGCGCCAGGGACCCCGGATGCTGCCCCCACCCCGCGGCGGCCCCGGCAGGCTGGGGCTGGGGCGAGGACGGGGGGCGGTTACCGGGCCACCCGCGCCGTCACGTCCCTGAGCGCCGCGATTCCGGTGTGCGCGCGCCTGCTCCGCGGCGATAGGGCGCGGCGTCTGCGCCGCCACTTTATCCCCGGGCGGGCAGCGGCAGCAGCGGGGCAGCAGCAATGGGTGGGGACGCGGGGAGGCGGCGCCGGGGCCCACGTGTGCCCGGCCCGCGGGGAGGAGCGGGGCGCCACCCGTTCACCGGCCTCGCGGGGAAGCCGCGCCCCGAGGTGGCCGCCTGGGGACTGTCACTAGGCGGAAGGGCACGAGGTGCACAGGCGCGTTCACAGGCACCAGGCACGGGGACACACGCATACAAGTCTGGAGGCGCGCGGCACACATGTGTGCACATAGATACCACAGGTACACAGACACTACACTGCACATGGGGGCACGCAGATACCATATGCGTTACACACACAACACGACACACACGTGACATCCCCAGAAAGCAACACAAGTATACACACACATACACAGGCACACACATACACAAAGACACCACACACAGACATTGTAAAAAGCTGGGCCAGGAGGAAAGCCAGAGCGGACAAATGCCTGCCCCTCTACCCTCCCTAGCTCACCATAAATTCTCTGGTGCGTTTGCATAGGCTGGGGTCAGTCTGAACGCTGTCCAGGATACTTCCAGTGTGGCCGTAGAGAGGCGACACCAGCACTAGAGTTGGAGTCCTGATGTCCTCCCGAGAGCTTGGGGTCCCAGGAGGCCCTGGGCTGTGGAGTGCCTTTCTCTGACTTTAGAACTGAAACAATAGCCCTAGAGAAGCAGCTTAGGTGGTGGCTGCTCTCTGGGCCCTTTGCCTTGGGGGTGGTGGCTGGGGCTGGACAGAGAAGTGGCTGTGACTTTTTATCTGGGAACTCAGGCTGGGGAGGTTTAGAAGCAGTGGCCTGGGGGGAGGGAGCTGGGGACTGTTGCAAAGCTGGGCCTGCTCAGTGGACTGTATTTGTCTGGGACTGTGGCTGGGTGTGGCTGGGTTATGGCAGGCCCTCTCACACAGCCCTCGGTTCAAATACTCCCACCCCAGCCCTGAGTCGTGGTGCACACCTGTAATCCCAAGAGGGCTGAGGCAGGAGGATTGCCACAGGTTGGAGGCCAGGCTGGGCTACATAGAGTTCAAGGCCAACTTGAACTACATAGCAAGACCCTGTCTCACAAAAATAAATAAATAACAATTTTTTAAATGCTCCCACCCCCAGCATTTCGTGACAAAATAGTTTTAAAGTTTTGAAGAGAGACTTTGCAGAGATGTCAGCAGGACTTGTGTAGCAATCTAGAGCTCCTTCCAGCTTGGTTACTCATTTGTGTGCTCCGCCAACCAAGAATTTGGGAGTAAAGAAACTGGGGCAGGCACCTAGGCCTGGTTTACCAGGGAGCAGGAGGATGACTTCCGTCCAGGAATTTAAGGCCAAGCTAGGGCCACATGGTGAGACCTCAACTCTTGAGAGTAAGGGGTGTTGTTCTATATCTGGCTTTTTCCTTTTAGTTAAACATTTACCACAAATTATTAAGAAGTTTCTTACTATGTTTTGGGGTTTTGGGGGGTTTTTTGGTACCGGGGATTGAACTCGGGACCTTGCACTTGCAAGGCAGGTGGTGGTACCACTGACCTAAATCCCCGGCCCAAAGTTTCTTACTATGTTGCCTATGCTCTTTTCTACTTATCCTGTTTTTGTTTTATTTTGTTTGTTTGGAAACAGGATCTCACTATGTGGTTCAGGCTGACCTTGAACTCACTATATAGCCCAGGCTGGCTTGGAACTCACAGAGATCCTCTTGCTTCAGCTTCCTAAGTGCTGAGATTATAGGCTTGTGCCACCACGCTCAGACCTCTACTCGTTCTTTAGCATTCAATTTTTTACCAATTAAACTTTCTTTTTATCTTGAGATGATTATAGATTCATGTGCAGCTGTAAGAAATAGTACAGAGTTGCTGTATGTCCTTTAGCCAGTTTATCCAGTGGTGACTTCTTACAAAGGGACAGTATGGTTTCTCAGTCAGGATGTTGACTTTAATAGAGTCAAGAAACGGAACATTTCCCTAGCTGCCAAGATCGCCAGTAGTTACCCTTTTATAGCCGTATTCACTTCCCTCTCATCCTCATTTCCCCAAGAACTCCTGGCAATCATGACCTTGTTCTACATTTTCACAATTTGCTCGGTTTGAGAATGTTTTGTAAATGGAATCATAACAGTAGGTGACCTTTTAGCGTTCGCTCCTTTCATTCACCATAAATCAATCTGAGGTGTTGTGTAGAGGGTTCCAAGGTGCAGATGGACCACTCTGTTTCAAACCCACCGAAGCTTTCCTGGGCTGTTTGCAGTCTGGGGCTATCCTACTAAAGTTGCTGTGTCTACATGGACATATGTCTTCATTTCTCTTGAGCTGAATGCCCAGGAGTGCAATTACTGGACCACATAGAAATGGCAAGCTTATTTTTAAAAAGAGACCAGCAAGATGCCTTCCCAAGTGCCTCTACCAGTGTACATTCCCCCAGCAATCCATGAGATATTCTGTTTCTAAGCGTTCTTGTCAGCCTTAAATACTGTCCCCACTTAAAAAAAATTGAGCCCCACTGTTGAGTGTGTCCCTGTGGTTTTATTTTATTTTCCCTGATGGCTAATAGTGATGTATCCCTTCCCGTGTGCTTGTCTGTCATCTCTCTGTCCTATTCAGTGAAATGTTTCCTAATTGTTCTTGTACTGTTGTGTCTCAAAGGTTCTTGATTTATTCTAGACTAGTCAAATATTTTCTTCATGTAGCCCATCTTTTCATTCTCTTATCTGGGTCTTTTGGAAAGGAAATGTTCTAACTTTGGTAAACCCCAATGTATCAGTTTTTTCCTTTTATGAATCATTCTTTTGGTGTTAAGTCAAAGAGTTCTCTGCTTAGTCCAACGTTTGACGATCTCCTCTGATGCTCTTCTATATGTGTTATATAGTTTTGCACTTCATTACTTCTGCAACCCATGGGGACTGAATGTTTGTATAGGGTATAAGATTCAGGTCCAGGCTCAGTTGTCTGTACGCACCCAGGTACACCATCAGTCTGCTGAAATCTGACACCATTCCCTTGGACTGCTTCTGCACCTGCACCAAATTCTGCTTTTCTGCTGTATGAGTCTTTTCTGGTTCTCTAGTCTACTCCACTGATCTGTGCTGATTCCTCCACCAATACCGCAAATCTTTATTATTGAAACTACCTGATAAACCTTGAAACTGGACAGATCGTTTCCTTCCACTTTTTTCTCCCTTTATAAGGTGGGTTTAGCTATTCTAGTTCCTTTACTTTTCAGTATGAATTTTGGGGTAATCTTCTCTATATTTGTTAAAAACTGTGGCTGAGATCTTGATAGGAAATGTGTTAAATATGTGTATCAATTTGCTGACAATTGCCATTTTTACTCTTAAGTATTCCAGTCTGTGGGAAGCCGAGGTCACAATTTTGAGGCCAACCTGGGCAACTTAATGAGAGCCTGTCTCAAAATAAAAAATAAAAAAAGGGCTGGGGGTATAACTCAGTGTGAAGGCTCTGGGTTCAGTCCCCAGAACCACAAAAAACAAAGCTGAACAAGAATTCCAATCCATGTACATGGTATATCTATCAATTAATTTAGTTCTTCTTTGATTTATTTTATCAAGGTTGAAGTGTTTCAGCATAAAATCCTGCACATGGTTGTCAGATGTACACTTTTGTTTATTTTAACTAATTATAGATGTCATATGCTTTTAATGTCAGTTTCTACATGTTAATATCAAGTATGTGGAGATAAGATTGGTTTTTGTCTTTTGATCTTGTATCCTGTGACCTCCTGAGCTCACTTATCAGACATAATAGAGGAGGGTTTGAATTTTGCTTTTGTTTGCAACTTACTCAGGATTTTCTACATTGAGCATCATGGTATTTTTGGTGAGTTTCTTGTGAACAACGCATGGTTGGATCATTTTTAAAAATTTGTTGGATACAGAAAATGTGGTACCTATACACAGTAGGATGCTACTGACCCATAAAAGAAGAAAGTCTTGTTGACAACAGGGGTGAAACTGGAAATAATTATGTTCAGTTAAGTAAGCCAGACACAAAAAAACAAGTACTGTACTCTGTGCTCTCACGTATAAGCATAATTTAAAATGTTGAGCTCATGGAAGTTGAGAATAAAATGGTAGCTTCTAGAGGCTAGGGAAGACAGCAATGGTGATAGGAGGCTAAGGAAGGTGAGAAAGGACCAGTCAGTGGGTACTGATCTAGGATTAGGCAGGAGCAAGAAGTTCTAGTGGGCTGCAGTACAACAGGGTGTACATAATGGGCTGCACGTGCCAAAAAGCTAAGAGAAAGAATTTTGAAACTTTTCATTATAAATGTTTGAAGAGATAGACATGTTTAAACTGATTTAAGCCTTAAACAGTATACATGTATCAAAACTTCACATGTTGTACCATTTTATGTACATTTTATGTAGAAGTCAGAAATAAATTTTTAAAAATGTAGTTCGTTGTATCAATGTCTATCTTTGCATTGGTAATTTCAGACCATTTACATTTAAAGATTATGTTAGGGCTTAAGTCTGCTGTTCTCTTTTGTGTGCTGTTACCTTTTCTATTTTCTTTTTCTTGCCTCCCTGAGGGTTGCTTGAACAGGAATTTTTAGAGTTCCATTTGTATTTATCTAAACAGTGTTTGAGTATATATCTTTGTATAGATTTCTTAGTGGTTCTTTGAATTGCATTTTATGTAATTTTACCAATTCTAGAGGTTATAGAAACCTGATATCCTCTTATGTCCCTTACTGTACCCATTTAATACTACAGCTGCCTCATCTATTCCCTCTACATACACTGAGAACCACATCAGATAGTGGTTTAATTTTTAAATACCTTTTTTTTTTTCTTT